ATGACATCACTGTAGCAGGCACACTTCTTGTTTGTGCAGTCTTTATATTGAGATGTGGCTTTCTCTATTTTGGAAAGGTAGGTTTTCCAAGATTCTAAATATAAGGACAAAAAATACAAGCATTTGACAAAGTTATCACTACTATTGGCAGGCTTGTAACCAGTAAAGGCAAGTCTGATGCCTGTGTAAAAAAATTTAATCAAAGTTTCTTGGACCGTGTGTAATTGCCTAGTTATTGTTTGAGCAAGCTGTAGCTAGAATGAACTCAAGACAAGAATTCAGTCACTGGGAGTGTTACCCGAGATTGCCCGGTTTGACTGTAATACAATTATTTTATTATTAAATTTGACTTTCATTTGATATGAAGAATTATGCAGATCTCAAAAGCTGTTATCCACCTCAGCCTTGAGCCTTGGTGGGTAACAGCCACCTTGATCTGCACAATTTTTCACATGGCCTCATGCAATGATTGTTGATTAACAGACCCTCCAACCCCTGAACCATGCAGATCTGGAGTGTTTGAAAAAAAGCCCCCAAAAACCTCGAGATTTCGGATCTCGAACCTGGAGATTTTGAAAATATGTATTAAATAAAACTAAAACGGCAGATTATTCAAATTGTCATGGTATTCTTTACCCTATTAGTGGTCTCTGTTTTACTGCCTTGTTGCTCTTTTAGCAGTAATGAGAAGATTCTGTTTGGCTATCCAGGTCTATAGAACAGCAAGTAGCCAAGTGAGTATGCTATAAGGGTTTCCCACAGACCTTAGCGAACCTACATTTTACAGGAATGAGGTTGGAATTGGATACAGGTTTCCCTCCAAAATTAAATTGATACAATATTTGTCTAATACGATGACAGTTTTTTTGATATATTTACACCGTTCCTACCGGAATTGTCTGGCAATTTTCTGTTTCACCATGAGATTTGGAGGCTAAAGTGTGAGACCATGAGTTGACTGCCCAAACCCAGGGAGTCTCAAGGTCAAACCATGAAAATTGAAAGGTCTGACTTAATTATGATGAAAATTATAATAATAAGCTTAAATTACTAGTAATAACCAAAGGTTAGGGAGTGCAGGCGACACCGATCAGAGGTCCAAAGGCTTTTGCTCCAACGCTGTGCTTTGCCCAAGTTTCACGTGACAGATGGCCAAAGCACGCATGATCAGATTTACGAGGGTAGAAGGTCAAAACGCGAGTGATCAAATTTCGTTCTGTGCATTCCATTCATTCTTAGTAGAAGCCCAAACGAATGCCGGCTACATACATGCGACGCATGCGTAATAACAACCTGGAGATTAGGTTTGCGGGCTCCTCTTGTCGCCAACAAAAATATACTGGACAGGCCCAGGGCCGTAGGGTGGTGTGATTGCAGTGGCAGATCTAGGGGAGGGGCCCAGGGGGCCCACCCCTCCCCTTATAATTTTTTGGAGACCGGGTCCCCTGCTTATCTCTGCTTATCTCAGGATCTGGATTACCGGCCCCCCACTTTTCTGACGGTCCAGATCCGCCACTGGATCGATACCATATATGCTTGTCTTTTTTAAAATGATCATCACTAAAAAGCACACACGTTGTCTGTAAAAAAGTAACAGACTTAAGTTCTCAGAAAAAAGCACTTATGATACGTTAATGTATACAGGCTTAATAATCAGGTGTTTTCAAGTTTGTTCAAACCTTTGATTTCATCAAAGTTTAATAACCAATCTTTACCTTTTGCTCTGTACTTTTCTTTCTCGTGATTTCCATGTTCCTTTTCACAGCTGCCGTCTTTCAAGCAATCGCCTGGCACATCAGACCCGAAAACAAACTTGAGAATTTTTGGAGAAGAAAGAAAAATAAGACAGAGAAGAGTTAAGTGGGTCATGGTGGGAATGAAGACGTAAAGCGAAATGTTACATGACGTACTATTCGGGCATTTGTTGTAGCCGCTGGTTTAGTCGAACATTTCCGAAGATTTTCCGACTTATATCGTCCAACTTATCGTCCAATGAAAATGTTGCAAATAATGTCGATATTTGGTCGATGTTACGTAGCACGAAATGGATACCGTAAACATCGGAGCGGTTTGTCTAAAAAGTTTCGTTTTCATCTGGTTTGAGTCTTGTGTTGATTCCGAGCAACAAAGCCGGCTATTGTGTTTGCTGTGCAGGTATTGAGACTTTTCTGTAACTTGTGTTGTAAACAGACTTATTCTAAGTTGCTTTTTTTAGAATAGATGACAATGGAAAAAATGAAATTGAATCAAAACAGCGCGTGTTTTCTATTTCTATCGCCCTCGTGATTTTCACTTGAGTTTAGTAATATTTAGTTTGCGGTATAGTTAATCAGAAATCATATCGTCAGTGAATCTTTCACTTGCACTCATACTTTAGTTAACAGAAAAAAAATTTTCATTTCTGAAATTATTTTGTAGGCAAACAAAATGGTTGAATCAAGAAGAACACAGCTTAGAAAAAGATTTTGTGGAAAAACCGGCAGTGTCTTGTCCATGCTATTCATGACCAGCTCGTTTTTCTTGGTAGAAATCATTGTTGGTTATGCGACGAATTCGATGGCTCTTGTGGCTGATTCGTTTCATATGTTATCCGACATCATGTCACTTATAATTGGCTTTTTCGCTTTGAGATACTCCAAACGTAGTCAGAGAACGGAACGAAACACTTTTGGTTGGCAAAGAGCAGAGGTGCTCGGTGCTTTGGTGAACGCTGTGTTTCTGATCGCGCTTTGTTTCTCGATTCTGGTCGAATCACTAAAGCGACTCGTGGAAACTGAGGCGATTCACAATCCCGTGTTGGTCCTGATCGTTGGTTCTCTTGGCCTGCTCATAAATGTTGTCGGTTTGGTTTTGTTTCATCAACATGGGCATGGTCACAGCCATGTTGGCGATGGACATAGCCACGGTGGTAGTGTTCAAAATGGCACTGAATTGAATGAGCTAATTCAAGTGCAAAATGGTTCGAACGGAGTCGATCAAAAATCTACCGGAAGTCAATCAGGATCAGAAGTGGATGAAAATGAAATAAACAGTGATGCTTCTAATGGCCTCGTCTCGGAAGCTGAAGGTGAGGAAATTTACTTTCTTTTTTAGAATTATTTTGATCAAAGGACACTGATTTTTGTAGTGGACACTAAACTGAGTAGCATTTGCTTTTCATTATTCTTGCACATTTTTATCATTTTGGTCTATTAATAAAGAATTATTGTTAGATAAAAAAAGGTAATTGATGACATGTCGCTAATTTTATTAGAAATGCATGGGTGCATAAACCCGTCTTTTAAGTACCTCTTCACCATAGTCAATCTGAACTGAGAAGCATTTACTTTCTTACACGTCCCTAATATTTTGGTCCATTTTAGCCTTACTTGTCTAGTAATGAAAAAAAGATTGTTATATAAAAAATAGGTAATGTTATTACAGCATACTTAAAATTATGTGATGACTTGCAGCAAATTTTATTAGAAATGCATGGTTGCATAAACCAGTTTGCACAGTTTCTTTTCACCATCCTAACACTAATTTTTGTAATTGAATGAGATTTGAGAAGCATTTACATCTTGCAGGTTTTTAATATTTTGGTCTATTTTAGCCTAACCAATTTTGTAAAAAAGGTCATGTAGAGTCTTGAAGTACGTGATGACATTAGAAATGCATGCCTGCATAAACCGGTTTGTTCCTGACACCATCTTGACTCCCTCTTATTAAAGAGGCACTGTCACGATATTTGCTCTCTTTTTGAAAGCTAAAACGTGTCTTCGCATCAATTAAATTCCAAAAATAATCGTCTGGTTTTGTTATTTCAGACTATATTTAGGTACTAAAATGGTTTCCTACTGTCTGTTGCCACGGATAGCAAGGATTGGACATGGATTGAAACTTGGGCCAACTTTTTCTGCTATACCTGCAAAAATAACCAAAAAATAATATCATTATGGTTGAAGTGTTCCCTGATGAAATTTGCCAGATATCTTTGTCATAATTCTATAGGAGCATTTTGTGTAGGGTGTGTGAGTCACATAGTCCCTTTAAAATTAACATCTTTCATGTTTGCTGAGCACTAGAACAATATGGCTAACTGCAATAATTGAAGGGTCCAGTGAATCAGGGCTGTCAAAAAGCTGTTAAGTAGCAGGTTGATAATGAATACTTGGTGGCTTTGGAACTCGCACCAAAGGTACATGTTCTTGAGGGCCGAGGCATCTAGGGACATTTTGAAATTTATAGTCTCAGAAATGGCATTTCCAGGGGTTTTCAAGAGGATTTTCCACCACAGATGCTATGTTGTTTGGTCAGAATGCTGACTGGGAACATTGTCGTCACAATGTTTCAGGGTTTCCATGACATCTTACAGTTCAAATGTTTCACAGATGTAAACCTGTTTAAATAAATTATGTGTTCAATGTCTTTCCAAACTGGCATGGTGCTTACTTTTTGTTAGCAGTTATGGTAGGAGGCATAAGTAACCAGCTAAGGATGGCTAACTAGCCAGCAGTTTTGGCTGGCTACCCTCCCTTATTAAGGGCCCTGGTGAATAAAAATGGATGCATGTGACAATTTTGCCTTTATCCTTTCAGCCCCAATATGCACATTATAAATTCTGCAGCCTGATCTCCATACATTTCCTTGAAGACTTAGTTGAGAGAATTTAATAAAAGATCAAGGCAGTTTCCCTTTGGTGATAATTCCAGTTATTCTCATAACAGTTTCTCTTGATGATGTATTAATACTGTTAGGCGAACATTAATATTGGTCATGCGTTGTGCAGAAAGGCTGAATTTTTTCATGTAGGCTCTTTTTGCGATGGTAAAACCTTATCTGGGAAAATAAAGTGAGACAATATCTGGATTTCTGAGAAAAAAGGCCACAATTTCTCAGATATTTTGTCTTGCTGGGTGACATAATGGGAAAAAGTGTTCAAAGAACAGCTCTTACTATTATTACTACAAAACTGTACTTCTTCAAAAGAACAGAGAACTTGATAAACTACAAATAGACACGTACTGTCTATTCCCATTCTCAGTAGGCATAATTGTAAGTAAATAAGCAGTTTTTGAGAACAATGATTTTTTAGCGATATTTAATTTTGAGCAGAATAACTAAACATCAGTGACACTAATAATACCATATTAGTTATTTGAGAAAATAAAAACCTGCAAATCCATAGCAATATATATAGTTAATAAGATCTGTTTCAAATATATTTAGTGATATTGTTCAAAGGAAGATGAATAAATTATAAATTTTGCTATGCACAGTGACTTCATAGTTTGCATGTTAGAGACTAACCCATGCTCCCCTCCTCACTAAATGACTTGCGATTTTTTGGCTACTGCAGAGAATTCGAGCAGAATCCAGTTGTCCAAGTAGAATTTCAAGCAGGATAACTATATTTTTTACAAGCATTGCAGCAGGGTGCAAAGAAAATCAGTTTTACAGCTTACCATTCGGGCAAGCTGTAGCTAGCTTGCACTAACACAAAAAGTCATTTCAACTAGCCCGCCAAAAAATTTTTGATGAGTACTGATTACACTTGTTTTGTATATTTGAATTCCCCAAGTTAAGAACAGAATTCACTAGCTAGCCTTCATGATAGAAAAATCCACTCGCCCCAGGCTAGTGTGCGCTACATGCCCTGCACACAGGCTAGTAGAATAAGCTGTTTTAAAAGCAGATTATATCCAAGCCCATTTTCTGGTAGTGTGGTTTCTCTTGTCTGAGGGTAAATGTGGCTAGATATAAAATATATGATAATAAAGTAGAAAATCAGTAAATTAACAGTAAACATGCCAGTTAATGACACTTTCTTATGAAAAATGCCGTTTTATCTAAATAGCCACTCAATGCTCTGTTTTTTGTTGTTTTTCTGTCTACAGTATATTTGTCAGGTAAAAATGGAACGGTACACACTGTTGTCACCAAGTCTAAGGGGAGCCACATAAAAGTCAAGTCAAGTGCTCAACTAAACATGCGAGGTGTTTATCTGCACGTTCTTGGTGATGCACTGGGATCTGTCATTGTTATCATTAGTGCCTTAATAATCAAGTTTGCTTCGGGCAAGTGGACAATTTATGTTGATCCTGCCATGAGCATCCTGTTGGTTTTTTTGATCTTGAAGACCTCCATCCCACTCATGCGAGAGTCATCACTGATCTTGCTTCAAACTGTTCCAACTCATATTAAAATCAAGGAGGTGCAAGATCGTTTGTTGGATCATGTGGAAGGAGTTCTCAGTGTTCATGAGTTCCATGTTTGGCAGTTGGCTGGAAATAAAATAATTGGTGAGTTTTGAACCTACAATCTTGGAGAGAATAATATATAGATTTGGCCAGGGCTAAAAGCAAAGCTTTCGATAATATTTATAGTTTGTTCAAACAAAATATAAAATCCTGTAATGCTAAGCGGCGAAGGCAACGCCGGAGAACGGTGAAAAACAACAATAGGTCTAATTAGCAAAAAAGCAACTTTGCATGTGCAGCACACTTTTTTGTACATTTCTTTGCCATTGTCTCGCACAACGAGAGCTCTGCTAAAATGGAAAAACAAACCCCCATCCCACTGAAATCAAAGATGAAGTTGCACAAAAACCAAAACCAGTCAGTTTCCCTTGATTTGAAGTGGAAAGGGGGGGGGGAAGGGGGTCACAATTTTCTAAATACATGTATTTTGTTGAATAAAATGGAGCAGGAAACCGCCATCCCTGCCATGGATGAAGCCACACAAAAGTCCAAGTGTTCCATTTTCCCACCCTTTATATTGTGGAAGGGGGACAGGGTCTGAACTTTCCGTCCATTTTGTCTAAGATTGTGGGACATTTGATAAGTGCAAACAAAAGACATGACTGCATCATAGATTTACCAAAGTGGAGCAAGTGGGGCACAAATAATCTGGATCAAAAAAATCAGTTTTAAATATCTTACATTAAGTGCCATTGTTCATGTTGACTTTTTAAAGTGAGAAGCCACCCTGGGAAAAGGTTCATCACGTTTTTCAAGTTGTAATAAAGTGATCATTAAAATTTTGGTAACTAAAGTGGAAAATTTAAGGCATATTCCCCAGTTATTTGTGGTGAAAATAAAATACATAACATGTAACTAGATGCAGTTAACCAAAGTATCAAAAACGATAAGCCATGTCATATTTTAATGACCTAGCGGAGCCTGGTGGGCGCTGGCACCCACAATTTGCTCTTGGGTGACTAGAAAGTCTCTCATTATTCCTTCAAAGATTCTGGGCACCCTAGATTTTACAGGTTCAGAGGACTGGGCTCTCTTAAATTTCCTTAGAGCACAGCCTTGTCAGCCATAAAGTAATTGGCAACCTGGGGACTTCATTGTAAAGCTTGAAAATGTTAAGTGGGTGTATTCATCTTTCAGTGTTACTTAGGGAAAAAAGTTACTCAAAAGCCATTGATTTTGGTTTTCTCTATACGCTTTGGGGATTTTCTCTTCCTTGTTGTTCAAATGCCTTTTTGTGCTGCACAGACAGCAAGAGTATAGATCAAGTACTTTTTTCATGATACTCACACTCCCCTTCATAAAATATTTTCGGGGGCTGTTTACATGACACCGGGGCGACTTTCGCGCTGGAGTGAGTTCACTCCAGTTCCCTCTCATGGCTCTACATTTGTTTGCATGATACCTCCACAAAATGTCATGCCGGCGCGAGTCACCCCAGCGTGAGCCACCCCTGTTGTTGTACTGGGACGAGAATTTCACTCCGGTACGAAATCTCACAACGGTATCATGTAAACGCGAAACGACCACACGTTTCGGTGTGAAATCGGTCTGCCGGTAGACTGGAATGGGTAGCGCATGCGTAATGTTTGCGATTTGGAATCTTACATGTATTTTATTAACATGAAATGTACCTTCAAATAACGAGTTATGAAATGACCCAGTCATAATGTAAACGCGATACAAAATAAAAAAGTCATCCCGGTATGAAACTCACGCCGGTGCGAGTTTTCTCATGTAAACACCCCCTCAGGGTGTGCTCCATTGGCTGTGTTGCAGAATAAGATTATGTCCAATTGTCGTTGCACATCTCTTGTACCGTTATTTTTTTTTTACCACTTAAATGCCACAAATATCAGAAGATTTTATTTCAAGCAGACTTGGACACAATAGGATGCAACAAAACGGCAAAATAAGTGATTTCTAGAGATTATTCCATTAATTGTTTTTCCAGAATAAGGTCAATCAGACACGCCTTTTTTATATTATTTGTCAACTATGTAACCTTTTTTGCTAATTTTTTGGTCAGCATCTGCCCACATCACTTGCCGATCTCCAGACGAATACATGGGCATTGCCAACAAGATCAAGAGATTCTTTCACAACGAGGGCATCCACTCCACTACTATTCAACCGGAGTTTGTTTGTGAGGACAAGAAAGAGGGTGAGTGTGTCCTTGCGTGTGGGCGGAATGACAACTGCGCTGCTCAAAAGTGCTGTCCTGGTGAAAATGAGAGTGAAGTGCGCAAACGCAATCCCATTACCGATGATGAGGGTGTCATAGTTGA